CTGTTGTAAACACTGGTCAACAAGAGTGAATGGGAAGGAAAATCCACACAACAAAAACCGTTCCAGTGTTATTTCACACGTACAGCCATGTTGTCTCAAATCTATAGAGACGTAAACAAAAGATTTTGATTCATGTTGGACTATTGTGCGGTCGGTCTAGGAAAAATGCTAGAGGCGGAAACAACAACTGCGTAAAATCTACTGACCAAGCTACGGTCATTCTTCTCGCTGAAGCGTACAAGGATTTGGATTGGCTGTGGTAGAAGGAAGGGAGGAGCATCATGGAATATAAAACCAGCATTCCCGGGCATCCTCCAGTTCATCGTATCGCTTTTGCAGTGAGAGGACGTTGGTGTTTCAGTGTACCCGAGTGTCATTTCTGCACATCTCTCGTGTATTTTCAAGTATGGAAAGTGTTGCAGTTCCTGCAGTGAGGTTCATTGCTGGTGACTTTTGGTCATCCGTGAAGATGAGGCAAGTGCGTGTTCTGTGCCAGAAGACGAGCACACCCGTCCAAGTGTTGGAAGCGGCAATGGAAGACGACGACTCCATTCGCAAGGTCATCAAGAGGATAGGTCTCACTGACCGCCGAGGCCGCGACAGTTGGCGTGAGGTTTTCAAGGAAATCAGCTTCATGGGCAACGTCTCACACCCGCATATCGTCGGCGGAGAATTCTAACCGTCCAACTCCGATTTCGTAAATTTTACAGGAGAGACAAAAAACTGAATTCAAAGGCTCCTATGGGGATTTACTATCTTTAAATGCGCTAGACTGGAATACATGACTCTACTTTTAAGTATTTAAAACAAAAGTGCCGAAATTTTATTATTTTAAGTGCTAAACCAGAGTTATACGGATAGACCGCTCAGTTTTGGATTTCTAACCGTCCAAGTGTCGACGAACGAATTGTTCGTTTAGAATTCTCCAACCCGGCGGGGACGCGACAGATTGAGTGCGTCGTTAAGTTTTTACTATAAAGCTACTAGGTCTATTTGATCCTCCATTCTC